GCGCGCGATGCGGCCGCGTCGTGCCTTCCCTCTCTCACACCACACACATTCACATTCGAATGCAAATAAGAAGCGTTGCCGACGCGACGCACATATCCGTGCCCAGACGCGGAGCGTTTGCGCTTCACTCGCCCTCATGAGAGTGCTGCATGGGTTCTCTGATGGGGGCGGGCTGCAGTGCAGTCAGTGTTGACGCTGCATCTCCGCCTGCGCAGAAGGCAAAACCCTCAGCATGCGTGTAGGGTGTGTTGCCTGCCCAGCAGGCGCGGGGATGAGGAACGGCTACTCGGGAGGAGAGGCAGCTCCTGGACAAGAGCGTGAGGTTGAGAAACAAGCCCGCTTACCTCCGTTTGCGCAGTAGTAGTGTGCAGCAAGTAGTGTGTATATGGGACGTGTTGCCTGCTGTGCGGGCCAGGTGCGAACAAGAAGAACAGCCCGCTCACCTCCTCCCCTGCTCTGCTTGGAGCGGGCCGCCTAGAAAGTTTCCCCCCTTTCCTCTTCGAGTGTGGCAAGTCCGGTGGTTGGGTCATCATCATCAGGGACCCGAGTAGTAGGTGGTATAAGTTCTTGCTGACAGCGACGGGTCGCTGCCCCGACCCCGGGCCCGTGAAGCGAAAGGGAAGGGTGAGGCGGTGGGGGAGTCGGAGGATAGGATATTTCACACGGTGGCAAATGCTGAAATTCAGTGACGATCGGGTGTGGTGCGGAGGTGGTCGAGATGGAGGAGAGGAGGGAAAAGGGGGGCGAGGCAGTGCACGAAAAAGAAAAGGAACTCACTTACAAAACTTGACTGCTACGTCAATTTGCATACAAATAAATCGGGTTGAGCGTCAAGGTTCTCAACTTTTCGGCAACTCTCTTACTGTCTCACTTTCTCAGTTTCTGTAAATTCCCCCACCCTCCCCCCTTTTCCCCCTGCTCGCATCACGCGGCGAGGATGAGGTTGACAACGGGCGCCCCCTGAGGTCACGCGAGCGTCCACACCACCTCGACGCTCTCACCCCCCCCTCTACCATGACCGACTGCCTTTTCTTCTCCCTGCTATTTTCTACCTACTATTCAGTCAAAGTAAATTATTTTGGGCCCAGCGCCACGACCCTCTGGCCCGCCCTTTCTGAATCTGTCGACCTGTTGCAGGAGGACACGTGCCCGCGGGATGAGGCGGCTTATAGGCGTGGCGTGGAGTGTGGTGGGGCGGGGCTGGGCAGGCCGGGCAGGGCGGGGCGAAAGTCTGTGCACCACGCTCGGTCTGGAATTCCTCTCGCAGCTCTGCTCAAACCACCGCTGCTGCTCTTCCCCGCACACCGTCAGAAAGTGGCGAAATAAGAGTGGCGTCTGTCTTTCAATCCCGGGGGCGTCCCGACACTCCGACCCAACTTTTGGCCGCAACTTCGGCAACTGCGATTTGTCGGTGAAGAAGCCCCCCTCCGCCCCCCAACCCCCTCCCCTCTCTCAGACGGCTAGCGTGCGCGGGGTGTAGGGGTAGATGAGGGAGGACCGGGGAGCGGGGAGAGCGACGAAAGCCAAAACATATTTTCCTTTCGTTTTCTGGCCCCACAGCTTGTCTTATTGTCCAATGAAGCAGCCCCGGAGCCACTCCGCGGTAGAATGGAGAGGGGGATGGGGTAGGGTGGAGCGAAGGGGAGGGGAGGGCGTCGTCGTCTGCTTCCTGTCAGGCGAGGGAGCGCGGTAATATTGTGGCAAGTTGACTGACTCCTCAACTCGGTCCTGCAGGA